TATATATATATATATATATCTTTATTGATTTCAGAGAAAGGAAGGGAGAGGGAGAGAGAGATAGAAACATCAATGATGAGAGAGTCATTGATCAGCTGCCTCCTGCACGCCCCCGACTGGGGATCGAGCCCGCCTGGGCATGTACCCTGACTGGGAATTGAACCACGATCGCCTGGATCCTAGGTCGAAGCTCACCCACTGAGCCACACCTGGCTGGGCAGCTCCTTTTTTAAAGAATATCTCATGGCAATAATGATCCATGAACGCACTTTGGGAAACACTAAGAGAGAATTTTGTTTTAGGCAAAGCATTTTTACAAACTACCAAATATATAAAATAATCTTCTGAGGGAGGTGATTAAAAAAGAGTCAGATAAATAGCACTTAAAGGGAGGCCAAAAAAGTGAGAGAATAAAGAGAAGTGAGCCTTAGCATAGCTGATAATTTGGGGTTTGGATTTATTTGGTGAGGATGTAATAAGAGGGCTTGAAGATTTGTTAGTACCTGTCACAAAGAAACCACTGTTGAGAATGGTACAGATCACAAGTGACCTGGGCTTAAAGGAGTCACCATTATAAATCCTGCCTTCCTCCCATGTGGTAGAGAGACTCCCAGGAATGCATCCTGGCGGAGACGGAGGCCCGCTACACAGCTCTGCTGGCCCAGATCCAGTGTCTGATCGATAACCTAGAGGCTCAGGTAGCAGAGATCCGATGTGCCCTGGAGAGGCAGAACCAAGAATATGAGATTCTGCTGGACGTCAAGTCCCGGCTGGAGTGTGAGATCGCCACATACCGCAGCCTTCTGGAGAGCTCGGACAGCAAGTACGTAAAAACACCTTTATGAAACACAGTCACTCACTCACACACACACACACATATGTATGTGCTACCACTGGTGACAGGGCCACAGGAGCATTGATCTTATCAGGGTCGGGGAGCTTTGGATTGAAGGGCCCATACACCCTTTCGAGCTGTGCTGTCTGGACCCCTACAATTGTAACCTAGACTGGCTGAGCTCAGTTTTGTTGAGTCAGTGCACCTGGTTACTTCCTCATGGATTTTTTAACTTCTTGGAGTTTTAAAAAGTACTAGGGAAAAAATGATTTCTTTCAAGATGAACATTCCCTACTGAGATGAATGTCTGAATTTTGTGAGCTCGAGCAGGACAACCCTGCGCCCTTTGGAGGAGCCTGCTCAGGCTGAAACCCCTAACCCTGCCCAGCCACTTCCCCTTGATGCCACCAGCATCATGAACATATGCACGTTTCGGCGTATTTTTCATAGAAGTTGTAAAGCTTTCAAATGATAAGAAGCATGCCGACCCATAAGGAACTGACCTGGAGCGCTGGCTCTCTGAAGCAAGCCAGTCCAAAGGCAAGCTGGGTCACGACTGTTAAAAAGACCTCCCTCCCCCAAATAATCAGTGAACTCTGGTCTCAGCACTCTTTTAACTGGCACGTTTGTTCACGTTATACTAGCACAGCGTTAACCAAGGCTACCACCTCAAGGAGCCACGATACACCCAAGGGCCTTGAATCATCAAAGAAAGGTGATGCTTTCTAAAAAGAGTTCTTACTGCTTCTAACTCCAATTCTCTAAAGATTGTTCATTTATAAACACGCCCAGAAGGCACTTTGGAGCTTCCTGGTGAAGCACTGAGAAGGCTTCCCTAGGCGGGGTTCAGGCCACCAAGAGTACACACTGTGATTAAGTCCCTGATAAGAAAAATATCTGATTAACTTCCTTTCTTCAGATAATAAGCTCCTCGACTTGTCCCTTATCACTGTTGATCCTGTAAGTTTAGCTCTCATTATATCCATTCTACAGATGGAAAACTGAAGTCAGGAGGGTTATCTGAGGGCACCAGCTGGTAAACAGCAGAGCTGGGCTCTACCCGATCCGTGACTCCTGGCATGGTGCCCTCCCCCAGTGCCGCGGCCTTGACTGTAATGGGAGCTAACATGATACGTCTAAACCTAGGATGCTGCTTTCCCGTCCACCAACGACAGTACAGAGTGAAACGACAGTACAAGCATTTGGAAGTATTTGTTTAGAGTGACACGTGTTGAAAAATTAACCACCACCATTTTCCTCCATAGCCATTGTTGCCCTCCCACAATCACAGGTAAAATTCTGGATTTTTTCCTAGGCTTCCCTGTAACCCGTGTGCCGCTAAATGTGAGCCTTGCATTTGCACAACCAGTAAGGCCAGAGCCGTGGGATGCCCGGCCCCCGTGTGCACACTGCCCTCGGCTCCCCGCGGGATACCCGAGCCCAGCTGTGCCTGGAGAGCCCTGCCCCGACTGCTGGTTAAGATCTTCACCATCACCAAGGAGATTCAGGATGGGAAGGTCATCTCTTCTCACGAGCACGTGCAGCCATGCTTCATCCTCAGAGCTGCCAAGGTCTAACCTCCCAAGGTGATGAAAGTGACCCTGATTCATGAAAGAGAGGCCAGTACTTGCTCCTGCCAGAAAGGTTTAAGAATCCCCCAGTCCCTTCAGGTACTTAGTTTCTTTCTACTACAGTGGGTCCCCAATGACAGACTATTTTTTTTTTTTCTGCTCCTTTGCCAAGTCTCTGCTGCCAACGTGATAATAGTTGACATTCACTGAAAGCACGTTCCACGTTTATCTGAGGAACAAGCACTGATCTGCAAGCGCCCGGGAAGGTGACCTACATTACTGCCCACAAGTGATGGGCAGGTTTCTCTTTTGTTTATTTAGGTCTTATTTACTTACGTTCCTCCTTAGAGCCAGTCAGACGAGTTCTAGGATTGTTTTCGGCTGTGGCACATGAAGGTGAAAAGCTACAACCTTCCCTTCTTAACTCCCTGCTTGGATACAGAAAGCAGCTCATATGGGAACAGCATGAACAGAGAAAAAGGCCTTTAATATTTAGCTCCCTGAGTAGATTGTCATGAGTCTGAATTCTGCTGAACTCTGCTGGCTTAATTACTGTTTACCCATATGCACATACTTTATCTTCCCAGAGACATTTTTAAAGATGTCCATGTTCTCCAAAACTTTGGGAAACATTAGGCTCTCCAAATATTTTCACCGAAAATCAGGAGCAGTTGTGAGGGATGAATCTAGCGCGTTCTGAAGAAATAGCATGGATCCTCTCATTAAATGTTTGCTATTTCTCTTTCTGTTCTTTAGGGAATGGGATTTGGTTCTGAGTGTTTTACAAGGGACATGTAGCTGGAACGCTCAAGACATAACCCTGCTCCTCTATCCACCCGCGATGGGAGACTATGAAAAAATAACTTAGATGCCTGCTTCAGTCTATCCGCCAGAGAGAAATGGACTTAATATTCACAAACTTTGCAAGAAAGTAATCCTGAATAATTGCTACTTGCAAGCATGAGGCGGTCCCAGAGCGAGAAGGCATCGTTTACGTCCCTGCCATTACCCAAGCCTCTTCCAGTAGGGTCACAGAATGTTTAAGTCATTCTCTACAAAAATTATTTGACATTTCCAGAGGCCTTAGTAAAGAATTCCAAATCAAGCACGGAACGTGAAGCCAAAAAGCCTGGGGTCCTGAACTTGCCGCTTCCTATCTGTGCCCCTGGGCACAACACTGTAGCCTTCATCTAGTTTAATTTCCTTGTTTGTTCAATGAGGATCATGCCTGCTTTACACGGATATTGTGAAGATCAAATGAAATTGTTTCTGTAATGCTGCTTTGTATGCTGAAAAGCACTACATCATCCTTATTTTTATATAAGCTTTATTTTTAGCCACAGCCCTAGACCTAATTGCATCATTATTAAATCAAGTTAAAATTCTTTCTCCATGAATTTAGCTATCCATTCATGATTTTGGAATTTTAATCGTGTTTGGCTTGGGGGGGGAAGGGGGAAGCAAAGAATAGAACAAGCTCCCCTTCGACCAAGCCCACAATTCCACTCAATAAAGCATTTTTGAAGTCTCAGGATGTGTATCAGGTATCAGTTGATGACTGATGCCCACATCAAAGACAAAAAAGCATTAACTCACAGCTCAGCAATCCACTTCCTCCAGACAAGCAGCAACTTACACTAAGCAACTGGAATGCAGAACTCCCAGGGTAATCTCTTTTCTGTCAATAATCTCTCTCATCGGAACGCCCAGGTTACTCCTGGTAGCAGTGAACAGCATACTATCTCAGATGGAGGGTGGAAATGTGGGAAGAGCATGGGGCTTGGACTCAGAAACCCGAGGACAGAGTCTCAACCTAGCCTGTGTGGGTGACCTTGAATATGAGACATAACAACTTAAGGCCCTGAGCCACACGGGTCAGGGTGGTGTCCTTTTTTAATACCGAATAATATTCCATTGCATGTGTGTGTGTATTAATATCACATTTTTTAAAATGCAAATCTCAACATTCCACAAGGGATGGAAGTAAAGGAGCCTCTATTAATTTTAATTTTTTTTAAATGTTTACCTTTTGACCCCTTCACCCTTGTCACCCATATCACATTCTTCTCCATCCATCCATCCATCCATCCATCCATCCATCCATCCATCCACCAGCACTTAGGTTGTTTCCACCTCTTGGCTATTGTGACTAGTGTCATGCTGAACATAGGGGTGCTAATACCTCTCTGAAAATTAAGAGTGGTATTTCAGTGGCATCTAATAGCCTTTTTCACATCAGAGCTGGAGAAAGTAGGGCCAAGAGAGAAAGGTGACTGGTCCATGACTACAGTCTGTGAGAGAGTCCGGCGCTCTTTTCTACTTCTCATTCCCACCACATCTGTAGTAGACAGAGGTGGAGTTGGGTCTGATGGAAACAACCCTGGATCCAAGGCAGTGACCTTGGGTTCTAGTTCTTAGCAGCAGCATTTGACTTCTCAGTTTCGGCTATAGGTACTCACCAGGGATCTTTTTGACCCAAAATCTTTAGTTTCTTAAGAGAAACTAAACAATCTCCAATGTTATTTACCTTATTGTGTCTAGCCTTCTACATCTGTACATAGGAAATGACACAAGAAATAATATCCTCCAACTCTCTCCCTCTCTCTCTTTCTCTCTCTCGTGTCTTTTAAAGGCAATTAGCTGCTATCAATAAGAACTTTAAGTTCTTTAGAAGCTAAAAGCAAATGTGCCCCCCAAATGAGAAGGAGGGAGAAAGATTAAAATTCAGGAGAAAAGGACAGTGTCCCAGAAGAGACGGGAACGGTACCATCCCTGCTAGAAAGAATTTCTAGGCTCAGGCAACCAGCATCTATGACATGGTGCCATGGGTTAATATCAGTACAAGCAGGTCTGGCGTGCATCGTTTCAACACTATAATCAAGTGTCTCCCATAGGCAATGAATCCTTTGGCTATCTGGCTGACTGGAAATATCCCGTCAGTGTGTTCACGCGTGATTCACAAGCTTCATGGAACAACCCACGCACGCACCCAGTTTGGCAACATTGAAAAGGTTTATTTAATTGAATTATCATTTCAGGTTGAGCATCATATTTGGAGGGCTTTTTTTTTAGGTGATGCTTTTGAGCCACAGGCCACAACTTACATGCACATAAAAAAATATGTAGTATGCCAATGTTTCCAAATGTCCCAATTAAGGTGTCACCAGTATCAAAGTTTCTGAACATGTTCTCTTGACCCTGCTTCTCTCTTCTTCCTTTCCCATCCCTCACCCCCCAATTTCAATCTTAGTCTCTCAGTCTCTCTCCCCCCTCCCCCTTTGACTAGAACAACACAGTAATCAGTGGACATTTGGGTGGTACTTGGAGAAACCAGCTGAGGCTAAAGTTTCTCTTACTATTTCCTAGAAAGAGAGTGGGTTCAGGGCTCCCTCCCTTCTCTGTGCCCTTCAGACAACAGTGTGGTGAAGGCCTGGGGTGGGGTGGGGATGCAGGTGTAGAAGGGGTCAATGGGGGATAAGGGAGACATATATAATACTTTCAACAATAAAGATAAAAAAACTAAAATTAAAAAAAAAAAAAAAATCAAGAAGTCTTTCCTCTCAGCCAGGAACAAAGATCTCTGATATTGCACCTCCTTGTGGTGGTCCCGTGGGCCCAGCAGGTGATTAAGAGTTACCCTGGAGAGGACTGTTCTTGCCTACTTGATATCTATGGCTGTTGGAGAAGCAACATAACCCTACTGACCCAGAAGACCTAGAGAGAGACCACACTTTGGGCTGAATTTCTCCGAGTCCCTATAGTTGGTTGTAGAGAGCTGCCTATCCCCAACTTGAATGCAAGAGTAGAAAGGTCTTCTTTCTGCACCTCAATGGGGAATGAGTGTTTATCAGCTCATTTTCCACTGACCCTTAAAAAAAAAAATAACTGTATCTGCCTTCACTGCCACTCTCCAAGAAACTGCCCCCTTCCCACCCTTGCCCACAGCAAAACGTTTGTGGTGCAGAGAGGTCTCAAAGTGGAAAGCAAGTAACATTTACAACCCAATTAAAGGACTCTATACCTTGAGGGAGAGAAGAAGACCGAGGATGAAAATGCAGAACAAGTGGCCTCTACTAAAGCATTAGAAAGGGCCAGAAGAGAACATGGGCCATCTCTAGTCAAGAGGCAAAACCACATGCTGATTAAGAACAGATATCTGAAGCTAGGCCAGCTGGGCCTGATTCCCGGCCCTGCCACCTCTTGGTGGGGACATTAATAGCATCTACTTCATAAGGTCAAGATGATGACATTAATTAATGCATGCAAAGCTCTTAGAGCAGGCCTGGCACCCAGTAACATTGCAAGTATGATTTCATGGTGCTGCTTTCAGAGGCTCACTTTCCATTGGCAAAACAATCATACTCGAGCTAACAAAGTATTTCATTTGAGGTGACAATGGCCAAAATCACACTAAGCCATCCTGATAAGGATAGAACATTTCTTTTTTTAAAATATGTTTTAATGATTTTAGAGAGGCAGGGAAGGAGAGGGATAGAGAGATAGGAACACTGATCAGAAATATTGATCGGCTGCCTCTTGCATGACCCCCACCGGGGATCGAGCCCGCAACTCGGGCATGTGCCCTGACCAGGAATGGACCCAGTGACCTCTTGGTTCATGGGTCAACACTCAACCACTGTGCCACCCTGGCCAGGCGATAGAACATTTCTTTTTTATTTTATTGCTTATTTTTAATACAAAATTGTATATACTTCAGGCATTTTTGATACACATATACATAGTGAAATGATTACGACATGTAGGTCCAACTCTTCTGTTTTCCAGAATGTTATGAAACTCAGTTGGAAAAGACCTCCCCATAATATATCAACCTTCACGCTCTTTAGCACCCAACGAGATGAAGATGGTCCAGGGGGAGGAGTGAGAACAATTTGAAGCCGGCCCTCTAAATAGGATCACTTTTTTGGAGAACAAAAAATGACAGAGCAGTTCAGATAGGACTGGTGGCCCTTCTTCTAGTGCAATACCTGTTGCCCTTGTCTCTC